GGCGTTTTTTTTTTTTTTTGGGGGGCCTTCCCGGGTTGCCGCTGGTCCTTCCCCGGGTTGGCTACCTCCGTGGAAGGGCGGTAGCCAACCGGGAAGGACCAGCAGCAAACCCGGGAAGGGCCGAGCAGACAAGAACAGCGCAGGGTCCTGTGTCGTTCCTCCGCGAAGACGGGGAGCGACAATCCAGGAGTATTTTTGTCTCTTTATCTCACTCCTGATACCACCTTCCCTCCCACATTTGGTGGTTATTCATGTAAGTGACTGCTTGGTAGACCTGCAATGCAACTACTTAGACATATTATGAATTAAGTGAATTTGCTGAGGCTAATCACAATTTATTGATCTTTTGGAACATAAACCTGGTTTGTAAATGGAGATCTATCCAAAGTGAGCTATTTGCATGAAAGATTACAATTTGTAAAGCACATTACCTCTGTGGCCTGATTAACTATTTGCCATATTCCCAGGAGATAGGCAGAAGCCATCATCAACATTTTGTTCTTAAGAAAACCAACCTTCGTTTGAGTCATTTCTCTAAAGTCAACATAGCTAGTTGTGAGAAGCAAGACTAGATGTGGGGTGTTCTACCAGAAAGCCAATTCAACATTCCCCCCACACCATCCCTTCCCCACCCCACTATCTTGTTGTTAAGGCATAAATCATAAAGAGATACATTTCACCCTTTATAAATTTACTTTAAACTATTGTTTTTAATTTAGTGGAATAAGAATTTAGTAATTGACTCATTCTAGTTGTTCATTGAAATGCTCTCCATTTTGAATTCTTTAAGGATATATTATTACCTTACTACTTAATTTGATGTCATGTGGACTTAGAAAATAAGGCCAACATATATTTTGTTAACTGTTAAATACTACCAAATTTTTAATTTCAGCAGGACTTTGGTATATTTTCTCTAATTACTTGGCTCAACTTAGTAATCCCAAATTCAGAAGCCAAAATAAACACAAGTGCTCAGCGCCTAAAGAGAATCTTAATATTAGGACTATGCAAAGCATTATGTAAGGACTTTGAAGAACATCTATGGGGTTTTTTTGTTCCTTTTGTATCTTTTTTGGCAGGGGGATGTATTTGGATATGTGCTTTGTATTCAAGTTCCTTTTTTATTGCAATTTTTGTAAAATAGAAATGATAGGGATGGAAGTAAATTGATCAGTATGATCAATTTGACTAAGACAAATGGTGTTAAAACCTAGTTAATTGTCAACTTTCTCTCATGTACAGGATTGGAAGATATTACAATCCCAAGTGCTCAGCCTCTCCACAGTCTCCTTGGAAGCTGTTGTTAGCTCAAATGACAGAAACCTTTTTCCTTTACTTCCTGCTTTTCTGCATTTCTGATATTCGCTTTCTTCCTGCAGTGCTCATTTCAGCTAGTGCATCTGTTAAGAGACCTGCGAGTTCTCCCTTTCATTTTTTAATCTTTCAAAACAGAAGTCAAAATTGGTATATTTTTCCCTTAAAATCCAGCTCTGAATTTTTCACAATTATGAAATTGTGATGTTATCATTTATCCATGAAATTCCTATCTGAATAACTTCCTCTCCATCAGCATTCTGTTGCATTAAGTTATTCCTCTCCTCAAACTCTAGGTACTTGACACTTTGAACAATCTGCATTTTTTCTAAGTTAAAAAAACTTATTTTTAAGCAACTTTCTCCCTCAAGTGTTTTAAAAATACAATCTGTGTTGGAATTGGAATATGCTTACTATCATATAACATTCATATTACATATCATAGCTGTTGTGTCTTCTGTTGCTTTCCCCATCTCATATCTCCCATTTTTCTGAGTTTTAAATCCTGTGAAAGTCTGGTTTGTATCATGTGGTTAATATACACAAATGCCTTCAAGTTTTACCTTTTCCTTGAATTTTTTTTAGATTTGAATAATCAACAGTTGTGCTCACACATTTCCTTTGCTGTTGGTATTGAGGTTTTCTATCATTGTGTTTCTATTTCCATAGTCTCTAGAAATTCAGTTGACTAAATGCTAAATGGCCTAGGTTTTATGCAAGTATAGTCTAAATGATCTTTTTCTGTAGAAGTTATCTTTGCAGAATACATGTCCTAAAAAGATATGTATTTTTGAAATCTTCTTATCTTGAGCCTATATTGTCTTTTTGAAGTGTTGAGGAAATTATTTTACACTTTTAATTTTAAAATACTACACTAGTCTGTATAAAAGGTTGTCACTGACTTGATGGTTATGTTATATTTCACAGTGTTTGTGTGTTGGAGATTGGAGATGATATAGGCACCTTAAAATATTTTTATGGAATATTTTTAGTTTCAGATTAATCACATATATGGTGTTACAAAGATGATATTTTTTTGATGTCGCTGTATTTGTCTGTATACAGCCTATTAACTGTTTCTGGGGGTGGCAGCTGGGTTGCAAGATGTGGTTTCTAAGGTAAGGCTGCCAGCCATCAAAACACATGCCATGCTGTGCCTAAAGAACATTACAATATCAGTGGATGTATATGATAGTCCATTAAATGCAGAAACTTATCTAGATAATTGTTCCTGTCTGCTGGTAGCCAAATAAAGCCTGTTTTACATTTGGGCAGTCTGTGACTAAGTAATTTTTCTCTGCATACTCATCCAAGCTGAGCTCCCAAAGCAATAAAAGCTCGAATATTTTCACAGATGCCTTCAAACAATATCTTTATACCTTGAATTTGGATAACAGATTGAAGGATAAGAGTAAATGCATTTTTTAGAATGTACATTTTTAACTATTCCAAATTACTTCAGCCTTTTAGCCAGACCATTCTGTCTTCAAATGGGTAAACTGCTTATGAGATTTAAGAATAGAAGAGACCTTCTTGCAAAGCTAACACCTTCCTTTCTGATAGAGACAGTGTACAGCTGCACATCGTGAAAGGGCGACTGCATACTTTATTCTGCAGTTTCATTATTGGATCAGGACTTTTGGACGTCTTGTTCTCCAAGGCAAGATTGTTTTTCTTAATCATCTAATCCCTGTAAAAGAGATTGTGTTGGAAGCCGATTTCAAGTTGAGACAGTCTTCAGGAATGAGTAAATGGATAGGGGAGTTCAAGCACTGTACATTTAAGGGAATAAATAACTTGCTTGTTTACAACTACTACCATTCCATACTCCCCTGTAAGGTTTGTGTGTGTATGTGTGTGTGACATTCTATTGCATCATCAGAATTTTTGCAATTTACCAGTGTTATTTATTTCCTCATCAAGCTGTTCCCTCACCAGAAAAAAAAGGAATATTTTCCATGTAATAGTCATCAACAGTTGATTCTACTTTGCATTTGCATTTCAACTTTTAATTTATTTTTCTTTAAAGCTGTGGCTTTTATTTAAATCGACAAATATTGGATTTGTTTTCTTATTCTTATTGTCACTTAGCTAAATAAGAGTGGATCACTAACACTGTTTCAAGAAGCCAAATAACATTGTGAGAAAACATATTTAAGATTAAAAATAATGTTTTAAAATTTTTATTTGAAAAGTACAGAGATCTCCCATGTGCAGTTTTCCTCTCTAAATGCCAGCAGCAGCCAGGACTGGGCCAGGCTGAAGCTAGAGTCCAGAACTCCATCTGAATCTCCCACGTGGGGTTCAGAGACCCAAGTACGTGAGCCACACCTGCTGCCTCCCAGGGTGTGCATTAGCGGGAAGCTGGATTGAAGTAGCTGGTACTTGAACCAAGCACTCTAATATGGAATGTGAATGTCGTAAGCCGCTATGCCAAACACCCACTCCAAGAATTATTTTAATTGGGTTCCTACTGGGAATTAAAAGGTTCACCTTGTTTGAAAGATACAGCTAATTACTAAGTTGTTTTTTTCTAATCTTAAGTAGAAATTTGTAAGACTGTTTAAAAAAGAATTTGATTTTAAAGTTTCATTGGAGTCCTTTTATGGTTAATTTTTATTTAAAACTAAACTTGAAAATAAATCTTTGTATGCCAAGGAACCTAATATAAGGAAATGTCTAATAATAGTCTTCAGTGCTAAAATAAACATTATGCTGTTTCTTAACTCTTTCCATCTCTATTATTTTTCCCTGGAATCTGACAGCAAAAACAGCACTTCTTGAACTAAATTCTTATTTCAGATTCTTTTTTTCCCTAGATAATGGATTCATACCTGATTCACTTCTAGAAGACGTTATGAAAGCATTGGATCTTGTTTCAGATCCTGAATAGTAAGCTAAATAAGAATTATTATTAAGCCAACTCAAAAAAGATTCCATTAAGTTTAAAACGTACATTTTAGCCTTTTAAAAAATTCTAAATTTGGACATACAAATCATAGCAATGTATATAAAGCAAAGGTTTATGAAAAAGACAAATTCTGTATTATAGCTGAGACTTAGCATATTCCAAGTGAGCTTCCTCTCCAACCCTGTACTTACTGTCCTGCTTTCTTATAAAAGTGCTAAAAACATAAATGTCCTTTTCTTTAAGTATATCTTTTCCCTATATAGAGAGAAGTGTTATATACTATATATATCTTTAATAACTTCAATGAAAATAATGGTAGTTCTATTTAATGTAGATATTGCTAAATTGCTGTGCTTAAATAAATGACCACCTCGCCAGTGTTAAGTGATTGAATTAGTTGCTGTGAAAGCTTTGTGGCTGCAACACAATACTGAACATAAATGTTTCAGTATTTCCTTAATATCCTTTCATTGTCTTCATTCTCACTGTTGAGTTTCATACATTGTTACACCTATAGCTTCCTCCATAGGTGTAGGATATTTATTATCCCTGAGAAAATGACTCTCAAGTTAGAAGTATTGATCAAATGAGAAATAAAGGTCACCTAGGATCTTTTTGTTTCTGTACAATCTATTTTTCCCTTTAAGTTTTTTCTGACAGTGAGCAGACAAGTTTGCTGACAATATATAATGTAGAAAAAAGCAATATGAAACATTGGTATACACGGTGTGTAGAATTTGGTACCATTCTGACTTAATGAGTTCAGCTGTACTTTTCTTAAAAGTAGGAAACATTAATAAACTAGTTATATTTGGAATGATATCTTGCTATCTGGAGACATGATTTTATTTGTTGTTTAGTCATAATTAAAGAAGAAAAGTTAAGAGAAGGTTGAACTAGTCCATTAAATGTTTTAACACCACTTAGGTTTCTTTTCAACCAATTTCCAGGTACAAACCATTTTGTTTATACTCCTCTAATTTGCAAAAAAATTGAACTCAGGTAATTTTGGTTACTAGTGATTCTTAAAATGGGTAAGTAGAAGAAGGAAGGGTTAATTTGTTTTCAAAATTTCATACATGTAACTATATATCATCTACTTAATTTCCCTTGAAAGTTAGTACAGATAATACTTCTTGTGTTACAAAATTAGTATAATTGATTCAGTCTAATTTTCTAGAAGGAGTTGGAAGATTAGACTGTTATTCCCTCTATTTCAGATTAGTCATATTTTTAATTTGTGATGGCTCATCAACTCAGTCCTATTAAGGATTAATTTATTAAAATATATATTAAGTGTATTATGACCTTCTCTTTGTTTCATATCATAACCTCCTGGCCTTACTCAGAGCCATTAAATTGGATTTGTCATATCATTTGTGTTGTAAAATATAAGACATCTAGGGTTAATAATAGTAACAGGCCCACTCCAGCATCTCACAGGGCCAGTACTGCCTGCAACAGGGTGAGGCACCCAGCCCTGAAGTTTGCTCAGCCGGGACGCAACTTTCACAAACCTTAAATTGAAGCTTGTGCTTAGAAGAAAACAGCTAAACTCCCTGTATGGAAGAGCTACCTGGTAACTGACCCATGCTGTATCTGGCCTGTGCCACTGGCTTATTCCTAACTCTGTCACAGCACTGCCAGAATAAACTGAGCAACAGACGGTGATGCAAATTCAACCAAAGGGGAGAAGTTGTTTAACCAGGACAACCTGAAACCCCTGAACATGACACTTTGTGTGTTGTAATAATAAACTGTAAATGCCATGTTAAATATGGCTTGAGAGAACATGGAAAATAAACCTTTCTGAAGACACTTTTTCATTTTCAAAACCCTTCAAACTGCAGTGCATTTTCTCTGCCACCTTTCTAGTTATACATGACAGCACTTTCACCAGCCTTGGCTACACGTAAATGGTAAAAGCTATGCAAAGCAGCCCTGCTAATGTTAGGCTGCTACCAGACCACACAGTACCTGCCACCTACTGTAATCCACTGCACTGTAACTCTTGGAGAATCTTGCCTCTTTAACCCTCAAGTTACATTGTCTAAGGATTTTAAAACTATCTCATTTAATTCTTTAACATTTTTCTGCTTGAGATTAAAACAAACTTTTAAATTCAGTGCTTCTTTAATTGTTAAATTCAGGCATACCTATGAAGCAAAGAGAATTTGCCTTTGGGAGGTTACAAGCCTGAGGGTTTAGTTTTTAAATTACTTTACCTAATAAGGAACAATATTCCAAAGTCATAGTCATGATTTAAATTTTAAATAGTAACAGATTACTCTGGTTTAAAAATAACCAAGTTTTGGCAAATTAGATGTCATTCCTTTGTATTTGTCATTAAGGTTCTAAAAAGAACGATCCTTAGGATTTTTGGCAGGCAGATGTGTTACAATACCAGTAGTTTTAATCATGAAAGAAGAAAAGTAAGCCTTTTTTCCTTTTTATCCACTTTTTTTCCTTTTTTCTTCCAATAGCATAAATCTCATGAAGAATAAATTAGATCCAGAAGGATTAGGAATCATATTGTTGGGTCCATTTCTTCAAGAATTTTTTCCTGATCAGGTAATATAGTCAACGTCTATTGTTTTGTTCTGTTGGTATGATTATTTGATTGCTTTGGCATTTTTTCTACTCCTTTAAAAATGTTCTTACATGCAGATATGAGACTTTACTATTATGTAGACAGCTTCCCATACAGCAAGGACAGAAGGCTATGTATGTCCCAGTATATTAATGGCAGAATCTTGACAGGGGTGAGGAGCGGCAGAAGATACTGCATACAGTAATATATACATAAAATGAGGTTTTTTTTAAAAGAAGGATAAAGTTTAGAAGCACAAAGGTACTTTACAAATTTTGTGAAAAAATAGAATTACAGTATCAGTTTATTTTGGCACACAAAAGATGAAATCCATGAATAGTTTACAATATGCATTTTCTATGAACTTTCTACAGAACTCTCATGCATTGATTTTAAAATTTTTACACTAAAATAAACTTAGGCCTGCGCCGCGGCTCAGTAAGCTAATCCTCCGCCTGCGGCGCTGGCAACCTGGGTTCTAGTCCCGGTTGCCCCTCTTCCAGGCCAGATCTCTGCTGTGGCCCGGGAAGGCAGTAGAGGATGGCCCAAGTGCTTGGGCCCTGCACCCCATGGGAGACCAGGAGAAGCACCTGGCTCTTGCCTTTGGATCAGCACGGTGCGCCGGCCGCAGCACGGCGGCCATTGGAGGGTGAACCAACGGCAAAGGAAGACCGTTCTCTCTGTCTCACTGTCCACTCTGCCTGTCAAAAAATAAATAAACATCTTTTAATTACATTTTCCATGGGCTGTTTGATGTATGCTTGTATGGGAATAAAAGGAAATATTCACTTTGACTACTCTAACCCCCACTTGCCTTCTCTTGTTAAAGAGGTTAGCGTGTAGCTTCATAGAACTTTTTTAGATACTTGGAGAAAATATAATGAACCTGAATTTCAGGTGAGTTGCTGTTGAATGGAAGAAAAATCTTTGGAGCTGTGTTGTTCATATTTGTGACCTGCCCTCCATTGGATTTAGTTAATAGGAATTGATCTAAGTCTTGGTTCTGTCTGCATCATCATTAAGCCAATCCTCTATTCTCTAGCTGTCTTATCTTGGTTCCATATCTAAGTGAAGAATTTTACTACTAAACCCAAATGTTCAGTTAGCTATAGAGCTATAGATTATGGTCATTTCATCAGATACTAGCCTAGTTTAAGTTGAAGTTAACTGTTTTAAGAGAAATTCTTGCCAGTTTCTATTCTATCTTTTTTTGTAGAACAGATATATTAACAAGAAGAAAAATGATATAATTGTCAATTTGGTATCTCAGACTTAAATTGTCTTCCGAGTATTAAGTATTACTGGCATTCAGTCTTGTTCTTTTTTTTAAAAGTTGGGGGTGGGGGACTTCTGTCTCAAATCTGTTATCTTTTGTGGATATTGTGAGTAGAGAAAATGAGTGAAGTAAAATTCAAAAAGTAAAAGACTGTCACAGTCTAGGCTTGGAGCTTTTTAACCTTTGAAAAATAACATTTTCTGATATTAGAAAAACTATTGGATTATGATATCTTATTCACATTCCAACTGCTAGGGTTATTTTTGAAAGTTTTTTTAATCCAATATTATGTTTTGATATATTGGTAAGTGCTTAATAAACAGCTTTTTTGTTTAAAGATTTATTTATTTGAGAGGTAGAGTTACAGACAGTGAGGGGGAGAGACAGAAAGGTCTTCCATCTGCTGGTTCACTCCCCAAATGGCCACAATGGCCGGAGCTGCGCCAGTCTGAAGCCAGGAGCCAGGACCTTCTTCCCAGTCTCCCGCGCAGGTGCAGGGGCCCAAGCACTTGGGCCATCCTCCACTGCCTTCCCAGGCCACAGCAGAGAGCTGGACTAGAAGAGGAGCAACCAGGACAGAATCCGGCACCCCAACCAGGACTAGAACCCGGGGTGCCGGCACCACAGGTGGAGGATTAGGCAAGTGAGCTGCAGCACTGTCCAAACTTTTGTTTATAATATCAGAAGTTTCTGCCATTTATTAAACTCATGCTATACACCAGACCCTATGTATCTCAGAAATTATTTTCTCCCTTTTAGCCTGTGGAAACTGAGGGTGAGAGAATGTAAAATTGCTTAAGATCATACAACTAATAATGGCTGATTCAAGAGTCCAATGTAGCTCTAATGCCAGAGTCTAAACACTTTTCACTCTGTGTTGCATTACTTTTTTTGGTGTTCTATGCCAATTGTTTATTAATAAAAAGAATAAATTGTTCTCCATTTATAGTAAAATGTTTTTTAAATTAAAATATATTAACTCTGGAATTCAAGAACTTTATTTAAAATTCATCAGCATATATATAATTAAGAAAATGATCAGTTACTGATTTTTTCCAGTTTGTGTCAAGCATTTAGAGTAGAATACAGAAAGTTATAAAAGAGCTTTGGTTTTAGTTGGGAATATAAGACATGAAAAGTTAAAAATCAGTTAAAATTCTGAAGGTGTCTTTCAAAACAACAATAAAAGATGCAAGATATGAATCCTTTTCAGTCATACAGCTGAATTATAAAGGTTCGAAGGTAATAAAGAACCCACCCAGTATGTTCAGGAAAGACGGTACAGAAAAGGTCCATTTCAACCAGGCCTTGGAAAAGCAGACACAAGGAAGAACAGAGTATTAGAGAGAGGAGTTCAAAAAAAAATTGTGAATGTGAGAAAGGCCCACAAAAGGTCTTTTCCTGGGAAAACGAGTCATATGCTTGTCTAAAACAATTAGGAAAGAGAAATAGTTGGAGTGATAGGACTAAACAGTAGATTGAGTCCTGTGTTATTTTTAGGATTCTTGGTTGCAAACCACAGAAGCACAGTCTGAGTAGGCTGAGTGGACAGGAAGTGTCCAGATGGGAGGGGGTAGCGCAGAGGAAATGAAGCAGCACCTGGAAGCTGGCGCTCAGGCTTCCCTCTCAAGCATAGGCCCTCTCTCTCCATTCCTTTCTCACTGTAAAGTGACCGTCATTCTCTTAGCCCATCTTTCTCTAAGAACTGAAACCAGAGGGGCCAGTACCTCTCTTCCTTTAGTTCCAACTTTAAGAATTCTTCAAGGGGGTCTCTGGCCTGCTTGCATGATGTGCAATGGCCAGGGAGAGCAGGAGGTGGTACAGACAGGCAGGCTCTATCAGAGGCCCTGCAGGAAATCTGCTTCAGTGAGGTTAGACCAGCAATGGCCTTGATGAATACTAGGTTGAGAGTTGAACTTAACTCTAGCTAATTCAAAACCATGGTAAGCACAGTGGGAATAACATCAGTTTTTCTGAAAGTTTCTGAAAAAAAAGGTGCATGGAAAATGTAATTTTGTTTTCATTGCAAAAAATTTGTGAAATCCATGCATAAAAGTTCATGGAAATGAGTATTATGGAAAACCCATGCATAGATTTCAAAATTTATTTTGCACCAAAAAACTTTAATTTCATTTTTCCACTTTTTGAAGTACCCACATATTAAAGTCAGTTTAGCCACTGTGTATTCTCATTTCCCACAATACTGTTTTTACTAGTTAAAAGTTTTAATATTCAGTGATTCAATATTCAATATTTCAATGATTGTTTGAAACAAAGGCTCCTTATTCAATGTTGTTGACAAAACTGGAAACTTGGTGCATGCATATTTGTGATTTGAGTAAAAGTGATTCCCTGCTCTTCTGTATTAAGAATAATTTATAAAAAGGAGATACGGTTTAAAATTTTATCCTTTTAAAATATATAGTAATATATGCACTTAATTAAAAATTTGAACTGCAGAAAAGCTTGTAGTGGAAACCAACACTTTCCTACTTCCCAGTATCTTCTGTGTTTAAGTTTTCTGCTTACCAAGCTATTGTTTCCCCTATCAAAAGGTGAAGATTTTAGTTTTAATATTTCTTTATTTTGTATAGGGCTCAAGTGGTCCAGAATCTTTCACTGTCTACCACTACAATGGATTGAAGCAATCAAATTATAATGAAAAGGTATGATAATTCACATGTAATTTGTGTTTAACTGGATTGATGAAAGAAACATAATGGTATATAACAGTGTTTCATCCCATACACTTGTTATCTAAAAAGATTTTTCCAGAAGTCTCTATACTATCACAGTATAATTTAGAGCTAGTCATATTTTGATTTGACTAGTACAGTAAGAAGGTATTTCAAAAAAGTTTATATTGGTGCAAAGAAACTTGAAGTTCATGCCGTTTTTTCATAATACACATTTTCCATAGCCTTCTTGACAACCTCTTGTACATGATACTCTACATTGGTGTTTGGACCAAGAGTTTCAGTACAATAAAATTACTTTGTCTATATGCATATCGTTACCCTTGCCTTTGCACATTTTTCTGAATCTACATTTGTGGTTAGTCCATTGAAAGTTGTTACTGACTCCTTTAAATGGAGAAAGGGGTAATGGTGAGATTTCTACTGAGAAAAGTGTTTTAAAGGATTAAAATAAATAACCATAATGGTTAGCATTTATGGAGCATTTACCTGGAATTGTATTGCATACTCTGTTTATCTTAGATTCCTATTACTTTATGAAGTAGTATTGTCTGTACATTCTCATTTAACAGAGGGGGAAAACCAAAGCACAGAGAGTTAAGCAACTCAATCCCAGCTCTGCCATGTCCTAACTGCTGGACTTGGGGTGAGTCTGGTTGTCAGTCTCGGAGCCTGTACTCTTACCCATTATGCTTTACTGCTTTCCTTTGTAAATCATTGACGAAGGCACTTAGTGATTCCTTTCCAGATGTATTCAACTGACTTAAAGCAAAAGTTTGATCTCACCAATTCACCCTTTATTAAATATTAGCTTTGTGTATACATGTGATATGTCTGTTATATTTCATCTATTTAAGTAACAGTAGATGTAGCTGATAGTTGAAAAAACAGTGCCTAACTTTCCCTTTTAATTTGATCAATCCATGCTGGTTTCACAAGTTTTCATAAGTGAGAAAGGCTGCAGACAATAGATCATAATGTTAATTAAATACATGATTTTAGTTAGGCCAAATCTAAAAGGTATTTACTCTTATTTTCATAATAAAATGTAAATTCAAGGTTTTTTAAGTACAGAGATCTTTTTGCAAGAACAGATTTTATTGATATACATAGTGAAGAATATAAATTGTTAAGAAAATTTGGATTTCCTAGGTGCTTCATCTAGAATTTAAAGTTTTGCATAGCTTTGTGATATGAGTTACTTAATAGTCACTAATTATTCACTGACATCATTCCTGCAAGGTAGGTCAAATATAACCCATATTTTACAGATGTGGCATCTGAGGCAGGGAGATTAAAGTGACTCACCTAAGGTCACGTAGCAAGTCATTGGCAGAGCAGGGGTGGAACTGAGTTCCTGATTCCCAAACTGTGGGGAGCAACTCGGACTAGACTGTTACTGGAATTAAGACTTATCCTATGCATCTGCTCTCCCACAATATGGCGCTGAGAAGGGAGAAGCAGCTTCTACACAGCTGCCTCCAGTTCAACCAATAAACAGCAGGACCTGCTCCTGATTGGAGGAGAGCAGCGTACTCGGCGTGTGGGCAGCAGAGTTGGGATTGGTGGAAGAGGACTATAAAGGAGGAGAGAGACAACATGCACGGGGAACATCTAAGGGGAACATCTGAGGGAACACCTGAGCAGCCCCTGAGAGAGCCGGCCGGCGGTGTGCCGCTCCCCCGCAGAAGTGGGGAAAGTGGCGGGGGGAACCGCCCTTCCACGGAGGTGGAAGGGTTGGTAGCCAACCCGGGAAGGACCAGCAGCCAACCCGGGAAGAACCAGCAGCAAACCCGGGAAGGGCCGAGCAGACGAAAGAACAACGCAGGGTCCTGTGTCGTTCCTCCACGAAGACGGGGAGCGACACCAAACCTGTCCTCGGTCTGTTGGTGACACTACCTGTATATAGTACGTTTCAAATCATGCTTTGAACAAGCATCTCACATACTAACCAAAAGATCAAAAATCAAAGAACATGGAATATTGTAGAAATAGTCTGTCACTGTAAGTTATAAAGCTAGGCATACATGTCCAAAGCCTAAGAGTCAGAAATACGGTAGACCCCATAGTAAGGCAGTATTTAAAATATTTTAGGGAACAAAAGGAGAATGCTGGCAAAGCAGGTGAGAGCTTGAGCCTCAAGGCACCCAAGGCTAGGTGAGGCCACTCAAGGAAGGTCCTAGTACTCTGCCCAAATAATTCTGCTCTGATGCTATGAATTAATTAAGTTCTTTGTGAAAAACAAGCCACATCTTATTTGTTAAGTAAGTTCTATGCTTTATGGACAACTTTTCAAAAAGGTCGTTCTGCTTTTGGGAAAGGGAAAAGCAGGAGCTGAGCTTGTCATAGTAAATTTACTTCATCAGCTCTAGAAAGAAACTAATACATTAGCCCACATAGATCCAAAATAGGTCTTTAGAGCTTCCTAAAAAATGAAACTTATGAAACCAAGTTGTCTAGCTTAGTAATATATTCTATTTCTGTTTAATGTGTTTGTAAGAGAGCTCCCATTTGAGCTAATAAAGTTGTTGCTTTATACATGCTTTGGAAGAAGGCAGTCTGTCCAAGTTATACAGAGTTAGAATTCTCTTGGTGCAAGAGGAAATATATGGCTGAGTGCTCTACTATACACAGTGGGCCCTTGCTGGAATGAGCTAAGATTTTTGTTGGTGTATTATGTCATAGAAACTTTTTTTCCTGATTTTATATTTTATGTGATCATTGCCACTACCTGAAAAGTCTCTGATTTGTTTGGTTTGTTAGCCTGTTTTTCTGACCTGAAATCTTTTTCTCCATCACTTTTCATGCATTACAAAATATACTCATGAGCTGCATTTCAAAGAAAATCTAATACAATAGCAAATTTCATTGACAAACACACAAATTGTTTTCAGCTCTAAGAAGACAATACTTTATTTTCTCCTTTCAATTTAAGTCCTCCTCAGAATAGAAAGCTATAATTCTATTATAGCTTTCCATCTCATGAGGCAGCATAAGCACTCCAGCGCTTCAATATAAAAGCAGTAGTAACTATGTTCATACAAGAAAATGTCCTTCAAATGGTATATATCATTTGAAGAATGATTTTTCTTTTATTGGAAACGATCTGTATTATGTTTTGTGATTCTCATATTTTTCTCTAGAGCATGAATCACCTTGTCACCTTGGAATTAAAATTTGTATCACTATCTAATTTACAAATTTATTTCCATATTAATCAGTAAGCAAATACTCCCGCTCATAATTTATCAAACTAAAAGTTCCACATGAAACAGTAAGTAATACTTTATTTGCCAGTCTGTCAAAACTGTTTTATCCCACCTCAGAATTTGCTAAGGATATCAGTTGACTTTTGTGGCTTTATTTTGTTCAACAGGTAATGTACGTAGAAGGAACTGCAGTCGTTATGGGTTTTGAAGATCCCATGCTACAGACGGATGACACTCCTATTAAACGCTGTCTCCAGACCAAATGGCCATACATCGAACTGCTCTGGACCACAGATCGCTCTCCTTCACTAAACTGATTTGTCTAAGTATTTATAAGGAAAATCTTAGTAACAGATGTGGAAAGATTCAAGACTGGCAATTGGCTAAATTAAGCTAAACACTGGTATCATTGATTAACTGTAAATAACAAAAACACATATTCAGTGTTTAAGATATGTTTAAATTATTTGTTTTAAAGCTTTATTTTAAAGATTATCCTATTTTAGCCCTTTGTGTGAAATTTACTAACAAAATTAAGCATTAATCAAAGTATCACTTTTGCAGTCAGATAATTGGTCATTTACTTATAAATTATATAATTCTATGGAATTTGTATATTACAAACAATAGTTGCTATTTATAAACTTTGGGTTTAATTCATTCAGGCATATTTTATTGTTTGAATGATCTGGCTTGTAATATATCAGTCTTCACATTGAAATGCAGAAGAGTTAATTCTTTTCTAAACTGTTTTCATTAGAAATATTGATAAATTATTAGCCCAGATCCTTTGACAATTGGGATAAGTATGGCATGTTTACAAAGCATAAGAACTATAAAGAACCATTACTATTTACTCACAAATGTATACAGGATGTATTTTTAAGAATGATAGACAAGAGAATCTGTTTAATAGTCTTAACACTGTTAATTTTCACTGTAGTGCCCAGTATACTTTTCCAAATTTGTCCAAACAGCCCTGTAAGCCAGCTTTCTTGTATATTTATAAATGTGATAAATGCATGAGAACATCTGTTATTACATTAGTATATTGCATTATTTATTATGATCCTAGTTGATGGCCTAAATAAACACTTTTTTCTTTAACTTTACTCTTGTGTTTTTTATACTAATGGCTTAAAATATTATTAAACATTTCTGTCTACCAACTCTGAGAACACAGAATACAACAAATGCTTAATGGCCTCGGGCCCTTGAGAGAGATACCCAAGAGCTCTGCTAAGTCACACAGCCAGAAGCATGAGAACCTGGGTGGCCGCTGTCAGGATTAGTGAACAAAGATACAGAAGCTTCATCCTGTTTAACCTGTTTGTTCAAAACTGAACTTTACCTTCAATTGTATACTTCTGTGTTGTGTGACTCACTGTTCAGGGTTTTGTTTTATACACATACACAATTACAATATGAAATTTTAGCTTAGGAAAATGTAGCATCAGATTTATATGCACAAAGGTACTTCAAAAGTGCAGGGAAAATAGAATTAATTTTAGTTAAAAAAAAGTTGGAATCTATACATATATATGGAGGTCTTCAATAAGTTCATAGATAATGTTTTCTAGTATGCATTTCAAAAATTTTTGCACCAAAATAAACTTTTCCATTTTCCATGAACTTTTTGAAAATCCCTTATGAAACTTATGGTGACATTGTAACCCAGTGATACTAGAATTACATCTATACTCTGGCTAATACAGACCCGGGAGGAGGCAGTAGAGATGTGGCAACCCACCGAGGAAACCTGCATCGAGTTCCCAGAAAGCCCAGCCCAGAAAATTATGGCTATAAAATGTCAGTATTTCTGGTATTGTCTACTTCCATATGTAAAATACACTGATAGAATAATTCTGACTCCAGTCATAAATTCGGTAAAAATTATAAAACATTTTCTCAAACATAAAGCCTACAAAATAATACGGTCCTCTTATTGTTACTGTCCAACAAACCATCCTAAAAATTCATGGCATAAAATCATCACGTTACTTGCACACATTCTGTCACTTGGCCATTCAAACAGCATATGGTAGGGGTGACTTGCCTGCTCCTCAGTCTGGAGGCTCGGGTGCCAGGGGCTGGAATCCTGTGTAGGTGTCTGTTCACAGGACGGTTGTGATGGGACCTTAATTTGGTCTCCCTGACAGATATAGAACACTACACCAAAAAGCAGCAAGTGCATTTTCCTTTCACATGTGTGTGTAAAATTGGTAAAATATCATCAAGTAGATTATATGCTGGGCAACACGGAAGGTCTAGAAAACAGCAGAAGTTTGGAAATGAAGCAGCACACTTGTGAATACCCCAAGTGTTAAGAAATTGCAATAGGAATCAGAACACACTTTATACTGAACAATAATGAAAATATGACATAACAAAAGGTATAGAATGTAATCAATACATAGAAGGAAAGTTATAGGCCGGCGCTGCGGCTCCACCTGCGGCACCAGCACCCCGAGTTCTAGTCCCAGTTGCTCCTCTTCCAGTCCAGCTCTCTGCTGTGGTCCGGGAGTGCAGTGGAGGATGGTCCAGGTCCTTGGGCCCTGCACCCGCATGGGAGACCAGGAGAAGCACCTGGCTCCTGGCTTTGGATCAACGCAGTGCAGCACACCGGGCGTAGCAGCCATTTGGGGAGTGAACCAACGGAAGGAAGACCTTTCTCTCTGTCTCTAACTCTGCCTGTCAAAAAATAGAAATAAAAATAAAAAAGGAAAGTTATAGCTTTAAAATTGAGATGAAAGTTTAGACTTCCAACGTCTATGTAAATGAAAGTAAATCAGATAAAATCTACATTCAAAAGAATTTGAACTTTACCTCATACTATATGCAAGAATTGACTTTAAAATTGTCATATACCTAATTGTATACCTTAAGATTATAAAATTCCTACAAGTAAACATAGGGGTAAGTATTGAACTTGGGTTAGGCAATAGTTTCTCAGAATACAAAAGCATAAATGGCAAAAAGAAAAAATTTTGTTGGACTTCGTTAAAATTTAAGAAGTGTATCAAAGGATACTAGTAAGAACAAAAAAGTGACAACTCATAGAGAAGCTGTCTGTAAATCATAGCTCAAGAAATTTGTTTTCAGTGACCAGCGCCATGGCTCACATGGTTAATCCTCCGCCTGCGGTGCTGGCATCCCATATAGGTGCCGGGTTCTAGTCCCAGTTGCTCCTCTTCTAGTCCAGCTCTTTGCTGTGGCCCGGGAAGGCAGTGGAGGATGGCCCAAGTGCTTGGGTGCCTGCACCTGCGTGGGAGACCAGGCAGAAGCATCTGGTTCCTGGCTTCGGATCAGTGTAGCTCTGGCCATAGTGGCCATTTCGGGGGTGAACCAATGGAAGGAAGAGCTTTCTGTCTGTCTGTCTCTCACTGTCTAACTCTGTCAAATAAATAAGTAAAAAGTATTTGTTTTCAGATATGTAAAGAACTCAACAATAGAAAACAAATGTTTTTAAATGGGCAAGTGAATTAAGAAATTTCTCCAACGATCACATACAAATAGCCAATGAACACAAGAAAAAATGCTCAACATAATTAATTTTGGGGGAATCTAAACCACGAGACAACGACTTCATTTCAACAGATAAAATGAAAAATACAAAAACAAGCATTGGTGAAGATGTTGAGAAATGTGAGTACTCACACAGTGCCAATAAAAGATGCAAAATAGTGAAGTCACTTTAGAAAACTGTTGTAGTTCTTCAAAAAGTTAAATACAGAGAAAGCATGTGAATGAGACAGCCCCACTAAAGGTATGGTCCCAAGAGAAACGATGAAAATATTTACCTAAAACTTTCACGTGTTTAGAGCAGCATTATTTATATTAGCCAACTTATGTAAATAAGTAATCTAAATGTCCATCAGCTGATAAATAAATGTAATATAAATGTAATATAAAATAATGAAATCTTATCTGGTAAGAAAAAAGAATTACTGGCACAAGATAGAATAGATCAGATTTAAAAGCACACTAGGTGAAGGAAGGCAGTCAAAGACAATGTGTATGATTCCACTTATGTGTAATATCCAGAACAGGCAACAATACAAAGTGGATTAGGAGCCCTAGGGGTGAGGATACTGATGGAGTACGGTGTTAAGATTAGAGAGTGACTGTGTATGGACTTTCTTTTTGGTTGATGACATGTTCTAAATTAGATTGTAGTCAGGGTTGCACAACTCTGAATCTAATAAAAAACTGAGAATAAGAGATAAAAAGAAATGAAGTCAAAAGAAGTTATGATAGGGAACATTTGTGACTTAATACTGATCAAGAAAGGATGAGAATTCAAACTGATTAAGAAACAATGAGAAAAATTGTTAGCTTCTGGAATGAAAAGGAGAACTTTAAATTCTCTGGATATTAAAAAGATGGGACAAATATTATGAGCTATCTGATGCCAAATAACTTACAAACTTAGAGCAAACATACTAATTATTTGGAAAACAGCATAGCAGAACTGACACAACAAGTCCTATATGCATTAAAGAAGTTTAATCAATTAAAAACCTTCCCTCAAAAGAAACTGCTGATCAAGATAGGTGGAAAACTCCTGACTTAGTGAAGCCAAGTATTTGGTTTTACTTCCAAACACTTAAAGAAAAAAAAAAAGACCAATTTTAAAGAAATAACTTCTTGGCCAGCACTGCAGCTCAATAAGCTAATCCTCCACCTAGCGGCACCGGCACACCGGGTTCTAGTCCCGGTCAGGGTGCCGGATTCTGTCCCAGTTGCCCCTCTTCCAGTCCAGCTCTCTGCTGTGGCCCGGGAGTGCAGTGGAGGAGGCCCAAGTGCTTGGGCCCTGCACCCACATGGGAGACCAGGAGAAGCACCTGGCTCCTGGCTTCCGATCGGCGTGGTGCACCGGCCACAGCGGCCATTGGGGGGTGAACCAACAGAAAAGGAAGACCTTTCTGTCTGTTCTGTCTCTCACTGTCCACTCTGCCTGTCAAAAAAAAAAAAAAAAAAAAAAAAAAAAAAAAAAAAAACTTCTAGGAAAATAGAAAAGGACTATAGCTTCTACCAGGCATTATAAGATACAAGAAGTTATAGACCGATAGGCAAATGTACAGATGAGTAAATTGGGCATACGTTTATGTTTATGTGTGCTATAAGAGTGAGTTGTTGGCGAAGCGTTATGTTGGCTTAATGTTTTTTCACATTAACAGAATAAAGGAGAAAAAATAGCTCAATAAATGCAGAAAAAGCATTTGATAAAATTAGAAATCTGTTCACCAGTTTGAAAACATTGTCAGAGCCCATGTTGTGGCATGCCAGGTATAGCTGCCAGCTGCAGTGCTGGCATCCCACAGGGGTACCAATTTGTGTTCTTGCTGATCCACTTCCCATTCAGCTCCCTGCTGATGGCCTGGGAAAGCAGTAGAAGTCTGCTCCCACATGGGAGATGTGGTGTGGATGAAGCTCCTGGTCCCTGGCTTTGCTATGGCCCAGCACTGGCTGTTACAACCATCTGGGGAGGGAACCATCAGATGGAAGATTCTCTCTCCAATTATTTCAAAATAAATCAATTTTTTTTTTTTTTTTGGACAGGCAGAGTTAGACAGTGAAAGAGAGAAAGAGACAGAGAGAAAGGTCTTCCTTCCGTTGGTTCACCCCCCAAATGGCCACCACAGCCAGCACACCGCTCCGAAGCCAGGAGCCAGGTGCTTCCTCCTGGTCTCCCACGTGGGTGCAGGGCCCAAGCACTTGGGCCATCCTCCACTGCACTCCTGGGCCACAGCAGAGAGCCGGACTGGAAGAGGAGCAACTGGGACAGAATCAGGCGCCCCAACCGGGACTAAAACCCGGGATGCCGGCGCAGCAGGTAGAGGATTAGCCTAGTGAGCTGCGGCGCTGGCCCAAAATAAATCAATGTTTAAAAACATTCTTAGTAAAACAAGAATATAAGGGAACTTCTATTATTTTAATGTGCTAAGAAGTATTTACAAAAACCATTCTCAATAAGTGAAATGTTCAACACTTGCTCCCTTAAGTTCAAGAATATGACAACTGTATCCTTTCACTCCTTCCATACAGCATTATCCCATGGAGGTCAAAGCCAATGCAATAATGTAGTAAAAAAATAAACAAAATAAAATAG